GTTAATAACATGTCTTACTCCAAAAAAGAACTTTGAAAGGGAGTTTTCCTGTGAAACTATGAAATAAATAACTTAGTGACAACAATTTTTAAAATACTTATTTTAAATAAGTTCCTTACATTTAATATAAGAACATTTACTTTCTAGTAACATGCCAAACACCAACAGAAGTCTCAACTAAGTGGTACAAGATCCTGAACTATTCATTTCTTAGGCTTAACAAACTCTACTGACATGTACCCATAACAAACTCAACATGAGTGAGCACAAAAAAATTCCAACTGCAGTAACCAGTTCTAGATAGTGAGAACAGTAAAATTCTGCAAAAGATGTAGAAAATCAAGAAAGAAAAGAAAACTAACTGTTGTCCATGATTTTGGCCATGTTTGGTCGCAGCCCACTGATGTGCTAAGAACAAGGGTTCTACCCTGAAATGATGAAAACGGATTTCAAATATGGATATGCTATATAAACTACTTTAAAGATATATCTGACACTGGATCTTAACTTTGAAATCACTTTGTAAATTTTATGATATTATAATTAGCTAAAAAAAGAATTCTTTTATTTAACAAAAAGATTTTTCAACCAAGTTTTACATTTAAAAAATTCATATTTTACTTTGATCAATAGTTTAAAAAATCATATCCAAATATATTTTTAAATTCTCTATTCTCTTTTAACACTAGTACAAATATTCTCTAGTTACATTTTTCTTTAATACAGACAGGTATTCTAAATGATAATAATACCTTTGTATTTTTTGTGTGAGACTCTATCTTCAGTTTAGCAGCATCGAGGTCCTTGGATAGCTTTTCCTTAGCATCATTCATGCTGTTTAGCTGAAGAGAGAAAATGTAACTTTTTAAACACTTTGAGGATAAGTGACTCAAAAGCTCATTTTAAATGTCTCTCATCCTATAATACAAACACACATCTTTCAAGAGTAATCATTTCAAAGTCTTGAGAAATTATTACTTTTTTTCTTTTTTTCCTGCTTCTGTCACAAGTGGCTGTGACTGAAAAGGACAGACAAGAAAGCTCTCGAGCTTAAAATGTCAGTGAGGTTACTGTACTGTTACTAGCTGTCTGGATAAAGGATGCCATTCTTACGGTAAACAAATAATAACTTTATTCTCAAAAATCCTACTGGACCGAACTGCCAGAAGCAGTGGCATCTGTAAGGGAAGAAAAAAAGGACAGAGCAGAAGCCTGCTCTTCTACACATCATGAGAGTCCTGGCTGGTCTCTGGCTCCGTGTGACAACGGCAGGGTCGGTCACACGCAGTCCTACTGGGAAGGCTTGTGGCAGGTCATCAGTCGGTCCTGCGCCGCCTGTGATTTATTCTCTTTGACAGTTCATTCTTCTTTCTGTCAGACTGCTCTCTCTGCTTTCTTTGCAGCCACCCCCTTGGTCTCCCCACTGCTGTCTCTGGCACTGGTTCACAACAAAGCGCATCACTAAGCCAAAGCCTGCTGAGTCGACTTTTCAACTGTGCTGAGGATCATGTGACATCCATCCTCCCAAATAACAATTCGCTGCAGGTAATATGTTCCTAGTTACCCTGCAGCTTCCAGACCCAGGCCTCGGAAGAGTTGTGCAAACTATTAACAATACAGGTTGTCTTGTCTCACTGGGAAAGACTTCGCAAGATTTGTTCTTTATAAACAATTTCATTATTTCAACGGTCACTTTGCTTTTGTGACTTCTGAACACTCACTGAGGCCAGTGAGGCTCACTCTTCACCCTTGTCACCTCGGTAAATAAACAGATGAACCAAACACCCTCTTCTCAGATGAGACATAAAACGCTTTCCTGGCTTTTGTACTAAACGAAAGAAAGAGATAAGCAGAAGGCCAGTCAAGTTTCATGCCATGTAGCTTATCTTTGGTTCAAGCAATCTGTTTGTTGTTCTACTAATTATATTTAATGTAATTACTTTATATGCTCTAATTTGACAAGAAGCAGCTAAACAAACTTCAATTTTTAAAGCACGAATTCATCAAAGACTTTAATACCCAAGAAAATTATTAACCCACACATTAAACAATACAAATGAGATGATAAACAGAAGCATGAGATTTTTTTTTTCAATCAGCAAACTAAAAGCTCCCAGGCTACTTCAAACGAATATTTGTTTATAAAAAACTTCTAACAACACTATCCTTCCCTTTAGAGAATAAAAATTAATTTATTTTTAAGACATTTTTATTTTTTACTAAGACTTTCACAGTTTATACAAAATTCACACTAAGAGATTGGCAAAGCCTAATTTTCCACTAGATATTCTGAAAGTCATTAAAACATATTAACATTTAAATTCAACTTAATATTAACTTATTCACTGAAATTCCATGTGTAGCTTTTTTAAAACATAACTAAAACTGATAAATTATGAAGACCAAGAATTGACAGTCTTTATAACTTTGAAAATAGTAATGTTAGTGAGGAGTTAGAAAAACATAAGTGAGACAGGACTTCAGGCCACACTTAAAGAAAGAACAATGACAGACGATTTATTATTTTTTCTATCTGTGAAGCTGTCAATTCAATATTCCCAATCTTTCGACCTTTGTAACAAGCCAGGGATCCGTACTGCTGCAGGCCGAAGGCTGTATGTGTGGAGCCAAACAGTGCAAATGTTACCTCATTAGATGCATCTTCCAGCTTGTTCTGGTAATCTGTCAAGGTACGCCTCAAAGTCTCAAGGACAACAGAGAAGCTGGGAGGTTTATCTCTGTCCTTGTGAATGCCTAGAGAAAAATACAGGATGAGTATAAAACCCCTAAAGTCACAAAGAAACAAAGCCAAGCAAACTGTAAGAGAGATATTACAATAAGGTGGAGCTAAAAAGACATCAGGCAACACTGAGTGGAGTCGTACACTCTAAAGTACACTGTCTTTTCAAGCAAGTGGTTAAATTAAACTTATAATACATCATATGCAAATTTACAACTGTTTTCTAACCTAATGAAGACTCCACTTTAGTTAGTTAATTCTTTTCCCCCCTTATCTACTAAATATTAGAAATGTTCATAAACACCTGTTACCCAACAATTAGCCAATCTAATAACACTAACATTGTCCTGGTAAGTTACGATACTTACTTTGCAAGTGGTCCTTGTATTCCTGATCAGGCAGGTCATTCATAAGGCACTACTTTGCTTAAATAATAATTCCTGAGTCCAAGAGCACATAATTTTCTGTTGTGCTTGGAACTATAATTCAGTCCTTGGAATTATCATGTTACAATTCAAAATAAATAATAAAAAAGGCCATTATCTCCATAGACCCACATGAGGTTTCAATTAAAACCTTTAAAATTGATACTCACTGCAAAAATATGTATACTTCCATATCATGCCCTCAAACGATTTTAATTCAGTGGGGGCATAACTGAAATGAGTTGAACTAATCCAGGTCACATGGTCAAGTACAGTTAACATATTAATCCAAAATAATCACATTTCGCTTTAAAAACCACTTTAAATTTACTATTTATCATACCCATGTTCAAATGTCTTAAAAAGTAACAAATTTTAACTTTTTAAAACTCTTACTAAAAAATACTTTCCTCTATTGGGATCTCTCCCTTCATCATACTTTCCAATCTAAACATTTCAATAGACAAGAAGACATTCTTTAAGTTGAAAAAGCAATATTCACAAGATATGTTTCCTTTCCATTCTTTTATGCAGCACATTTAAGTGAATGCACTATGCTCTTCCTGGGCATTAAGCAGAGGTGGACATGACTGGTATAACCTCATGGAGTTTATAGTCTTAACCGAAGAAAAGGAGATGCTAAGCAAGTCATGACAGAGGTCATTCATTCAACATTTCTTAATTGTTCACTTACAGAGTCTAGGGGTACTGGGCAAAGAAAATGCAAATAAAGGAAGAGGAAATGGGTATTTGAAAACTAGTTAGTTAATGATACACCAGTTTGATTCATCTTGGGATATAGGCAATAATCAACATCTTACTCTTTGTCAAAGAGCCATTAGTAAATTTCTGACATTTATCAACATATAAAGCTTGACAGAATTTTTTACTAACATTTTTACTTCTCATACTTAAGACTATGCTAAATATGAGTAAAACTTGGAAGTTTTTAAACAGAATAATATGTAACATTTTTTTAAAAAAAAGGAATATGGAAACAACACATAATTGAAAGTAGGGCAGGCAAAGAGGAAGAGACAGAGCTCCGAGCCAGGAGAACGGAGGAGACTGTGCTCTTTGTAATGACTACGAGTTGGAAAGACAACTCATTAAAAATTTTATTAAGGGTCTTACCAAATATATGTTTAAAAAAATTGCTCTCTTGCACAAGATAAAAAATGTAATGTATAATTCTTTTCTTTGCAGCTACACAAGGAGGCTATGAATAAATCATTCAGGGGCACTCGGGAAATATGCTGGCTTTTACAATAAGGGAGAAAGCTTCCTCTTAGATTCAGAAGAATAAAATCACCTCACTGAGAGTGCTGAGGGGTCAGGGGACGAAATGTCCTCTCCTTATTGACCTATGCTCATTCTTATTTTCCACATAAAATAAATTTCCTTCAGAAAATATGCATACAATAAAGTCCAGCTACAATACAAAGTGTGCTTTACGCCCCACCCATCTCTACTATAGAAAGAAATATCTGCTGGTCCTTTAAAATGACAAAGTGCTTTAAAATGAAAATTAAAAGGTGACCGTGGACTCAGGATCTCACAGACTGACTGATGTAACTTAATAAAATTTTTGTCATTTTACTAAGGTAAAGGAAATAATGAAGAATTATAGGGATCCTCACAAAAGAAGATTTAAAGGTTCACAGATAGAGAGTAAAAGAGGTGTGAAGAGTGGTGATGATTGGCTTCTCAAATATCAAAGTCCATTTGACAAACAGACTATTCCAAAATATTTTTCACTTCCTTAAACCAACTCCAAAGCATTCTACTTCTCCCTCCCTCTGTGCCTGGTGCCAGCCTAGATGGCTACGTCATCCTGCTCGATGCCATCACTCCTTAAGTAGCTGTCAACTCCCAGTGCCATCGGGTCGGTTCCAGCTCACAATATCCCTCCATGTGGTTCCCAGCGCTGTAAATCCAGGTCGAAGGAGGCTGCACCTAGACCTTAACCAACATTTTCCTGCAGGAGGCTCGCAGGAAGAAGTGGTCCCAAGGTCCGTTTATGTTTCAGTTTTAACAGTCTCAGCTCTACAGTGAAACCTGTCAGAGCAGAACTCGAGCCTGCCTCGCTTCCCCACGCCTTGCAAATTTCAGCCTTAGGCAGGGTACGTTCACGACCATTCCTGTAACACTCATTTTAATGAAAAATATGCATACTTCTCTTCTCTGAAAACATGACTCTTCACGTTTCCTTCAAAACCACCAGCTGTTCCATGGGAGAAGGATGGGCAGTCTCTTCCTGTGTGATTTACTGCCACTGAAAACCCACTGGAGGGTCAGCAAGACGGCAATTCCGACTTGACAGTACACAACAACAACAACAAACGTCTCTTGTGAGTTGCTACCTTACAGAGGTTCTGCCTTTTCCATGTATTATTTTGATGATTTTTACATTATTCATATATCACTTTTTTTTTAAAGCTGGTGTTACAACTTCCAAAACCTAATAGATTCACAGTAGAAATTGAGCAGTAATGAATTTAGTCCATCTCCCTATTTTTTCTACCATCTTCTCTATTTCAGCCTCACCACAAAACTGTTTACAAACATGCAGACACTAAAAAACACAAAATAGTAGGTGAATTTTTAAAAAAGATCTATACTAGGACATGAGGAATCATAACATCTTTGGGAAAGGGAGAAATAATAAATCTAGGTTTAAGGCTATTTCTGACCATCTTAGTAAATAAACAGAAAACATCAAACTTTTTTATATTTTCACCTGACAAAAACCTACCACTCCGTGTGCACAACCCTGATGCCTAGGAAAATTCCCTCTTCATTTCAGAAGTGCTAGACATACAAATTTTGTGGGTCTTTATTTCTTTTCAAGCTCAGGCTACAACGTGTATCTTGAAGTTTTATTCAGTGAGGTCATAAATGCACATCTTCATTATTATTTAAAGATAGGTGCCAAGTCTGAAGTTTTAGAGGCAAATAGCAAATAATTGTTCTAACATATGTAGAGGATTTATCATGCAAGTCCTGCCTGACAATGCCCTAACTTTGTCACTCAAGAAGACTGAAATACTTCCATCACTAAGGCCTGAGGAATGCATGGCTGAGGGGAGCTTCAGCACCCTCAGTGAACTGTTTGGCTTGATGAGTTTTACACAGCTAGAAGGCCAAGAAGAGAGGAAATGGCATCATCAAAGTGGGTTGCCTGAATTTCATGGGAATGATGGGATCTCGGCTGGCAGAGGAAACAAGGCTGGACTAACATTCCTGAGGTAAAGTAAAAGGAATATAATTTAAAAGAAAAACCTCTAAACCAAGTCTCCATTAAATGCCTCTCTCTGTATAATCTACAGGTAATCACATGTAACTGCTATGAGATATCATCTCACCCCAGTCAGAATAGCAAAATTTAATAGAACAAAAAAAAAAGCAAAAAAAAAAATGTTAACAGAACAGCAAACATCAAATGCTGGCGAGGTTGTGGAGAAACTGGAACCCTTATTCACTGTTGGTGGGAGTGTAAAATGGTCCCACCAATACGGAAGGCTGTATGGTACTTTCTCAAAAAGTTGCAAATAGAGATACCATTTGACCCAGCATTTCCACTACTGGGAATATACCTCAAAGAGACCATAGCTGCCACCCAAGCAGATACATGCATATCCATGTTGATCACAGCTTTGTTCACAATAGCAAGGAGTTGGAAACAACCCAAGAGCCCATCAACAAATGAATGGATAGAGAAGCTGTGGTATATTCACACAATTGAATACTATGCTGCATTGAAAAACAAGGAACTCATGCAATATTATTCAAAATGGGTGACTCTGGAGGACATTATGCTGAATGAAGTATCTCAGTCACCAAAGGACAAATACTGCATGGTGCCACTGTTGTAAAACAGGACTGACCTTGGGGTTGGGGAGAGACTGAGAAAGATAGGTTCAATAATGTATACTGCATTGAAACAGATGAGGGAGAAAACTGTTTAAAAGGGATATATGATTAGGTATTTTTGTCATGACAGGAGTCTAGAGTGAAGGCTCCATGGTGGAGTGGACCTGGGGGATGGTTTGTAAAACAATGAAAGAATTTTTCTTTTACTTTTCCAAGAGGGTAGTGTACTACAGGGGAGTGTTGGGAGGGGAGAAAAAGTGCAACAATGAATAAATGGAAATCCAAAGTCTCTGTAATAATAAATTTCAATTTAAAAAATTGTACTTAAAGAAAATAAAAATTTCAATTCATCAGTCTCTATCCACATTTCAAATACGTTAATAGGCCCATGTATTTACTAGCTACTATATTAAGCGGCACAGGCTGTGAACATTTCCATTATTGTACATCCAACAACCAATTTACAGAACGTCTAGGGAACAAAGAAATAGGCTAAAACATATCATTAAGACACCATCAGAAAAACCTGACTGTGAAACTTGTCAGACAAATGGCATTATTTCAAGAATTTTTTTAAAGGAACAAGAAAAGATAGAAGAGAGGAGGAACCAATTTCTTCTTTCTGTTAGTTGTATTTCTTTTAAAACATTATGATCCATGAAAATCCATAAACTACTTCTATGGAAGCTTATGAAATTGGGGTACACCATTAAGTA